TTATTGTTTCTCTATTTTGTATGTCTTACCTGTTGGATGAAAATTCTAGGTCTTGTAGTGTCATAGATCTGATTCCTGGTCAAGTTTGATAATCTTTATTCAGAGATGGAAATTATTTTTAAGCACCAGACAGATCAGGGTTAAATCAACATAGATTTTATTGCCGTGAAATGTTTGATCAAATGTGGTCATTATCTTCATAGACTCATGTAAAACAGGTAGCTTGTATAGGAAATAGAAATATAAAAGATTATGTTTTTCACCACTGAATTATAAATTAAATTAAGTGGAAGGAAAAGAACCAAACCAAATCTCCAAAGCAATAAATAGGACATTGTTTGTTGGTGACCAAGTGCGCACTCACATTTAAGTACAATCACAACAGCTGCTGTACAGAACAGAATTAATTGTACAAAATAAAGAAAAGTAAAGAATAGCAATAAAAAAGATCAGACCTCTCCAAATGACCTTCACCTGGAAAAGGAAAATTACTTTATCTTTCTCCCTCATTCCACACAGCTGTATGTGAATTCTTGTTAAACCTGTAATGAGGGCAGAGGCAAAGGATACTTTCATAAATACAGTTCCTGTATAATTTATTGATTCTTCCTTGTGTTGCAGGCTTGTGTCTTCTACTAATGCTGTTTCTTCTTGTCCTTAGAAATAAAGAATCAGAGCAGCAGAACTATTTCTCCAAAGGATAAATGAAAGTCAAATGACCTCGGAATTCACCAGCAGCTCTTTTGGATACCTAAGACATCTAAGACCAAAATTGCTTGTTGGTGTTAGGAAACAAACAAACAAACAAAAAATAGCAGTTAGAGATTGTAAAGTTAAAACTGGCCCTTAGGACAATAAACAGCCCTTCTTGAGCCTGGCTGCAAAACTGTGAGCTGCGCCTGTGCCACTGAGTCACGTCCAAAGGAAGAGATGGATTGGGGAAATATTTACACAGAGGTCCAGGATTTGGAAGGACTATACATTGTGCCTGCTTTGTAGCAGATTTTTCTGGTTTTAGGAAAAGTCAAAGAGAAGCTTCAAAGAGCAGATTCCATGTTGATTTGGAGAGCTGAAGTCTTTTCCCAACAAATGTTGGTGTTTATCTTTAAAAAGGAAGCAAATGAAAGGTCTAAATTCACCCCTTCTGCCAGTTCTCCAAGGCAACAGAATGACACCTAGAAGGAGTTAGGGTTAAAGGTGGCAGCACAAAGGACAAAGTTCTTGACAGTCTTCAGTTGTAGGTGGCAGAGTCACCACTGCTTGTCTGTGGTTCCCTCCCCATAACAGGCCACGTGAACTCTGCTCCAGTTCCCATCATCTGATAAAACTCTGCTACATTACATGTCTGTCATGTAATGGTGATAAGTGGGGGCTGTGTGAACAGAGAACTAAATCCCAGGGCAGAGGTGAGAATGTTACTCCTACTCTGCCAGACTCACCTTCCAAGCTTAGTCAGCACAGGAACTGTTTGTACTCACAGTGAGTAACACCTTGCTCTAGAAAAATAATTTGTAGTTAGCATGTTTGCTCCATGAGGAATTTGCTAATAAATCCAAGAGTCAGAAGCTGTACTTTGTGAGTCAAATGTGCCAGGACTTAGGATAAAGAGTAAGTTCAGGGATCTACTTAAAATGTTTTGAGATTGTTGGTGAGAAAGGTATAACTCATACTGAGCTGAGCAATGGGCTGAAAAGGATCCAACTACTCAGACAGCACTTGGGTTATGAATCGATTTTTGGGGTCCAACAATCATAATGATTCATTGTCCTGGCCATGAAACTTTGGAGACTTTTCTCTACTACTTTGATGGTTTTAACACTGAATAAACACTTCCATAATCTCTGAAAGGAAGATTTTTTTTTTCTTTTCTTTTTCTGATCAGATAAATTTCCAAATCAAAGAGATATAGGTACTTCATACTTCAATCTGACACCAGAGAGCACCCACTAACCTCAAATCATGAACTTCCCTCGGGTTTATCTAGGTCATTAATGTGTTTTGAGATGAAAATGTTTCCACAGAGACAAGAACTAAGAAAATAATAAAACCCCCAAAACTACAATGTGGGAACATGAGCATGTTCCTGTGGACACCATGGGAATGCAAGTGGGTGAGACCCTAGGCTAAGATTTTAACAGGAACACCAGTGAATTCATTGCCTAAAACCTCACTGGAAGTTCCAATGACAGAAACTAAAAAAAATGACACCAAACTGCTCAGATAGCTAGTTCAGCAGAAAAGGCAGTGATAATTATTGTTTACTCAATAAAATTATTAAGAGCAATTAAAAATAACAAATAAAGAGCCTGTCAAGTCAGCAAACTTGCAGCCACATTTAAAAAAAAATTGCTTTTAAAATGTACTAGTGTACTAAGGGAAAAACCAGAACATTTGACATGGAAATAGAAACTTCTTAATGATAAGAACTTATAGAAATTCAATCAAGTTGAATCAGATCTGCATGGACTATTAACAAAAATGGACCCCAACAAGGGTCATTAAGCCAAAAACTGGAAGTTCTGGGGCTTGAAGTGTGCTCAGATTTATTAATAGTAATAGATCAAAGGGTAATCCAGGCCAAAAAAAATCTGTTGCCTGCAGAGCAGGCACTCATAGTGATTATGTAACAGCAAGAGACAAAAGTCCTGAAATAAATTATTGTTGGTACCTTGGACCATATCCTGAATAGGAAAATATTTCGTATTAGGCTGTATACATATTATTTCCACATTTAAGCATTTTAATTTGGTGGCAATAAAATGCTGCTTTCCCAAAGATTTATTTGCCCAAATATTTATTTCTCCTTCAAAAAGTTGATATTTTAGTGGAAAAAACTGAAAAGGATTTTAGAAACCTTTTCCTTATATTTTTTCCCCCTCAAAAATCTAATTTATCTACATCTTGAAATAGAGGTTCAAATTAAATTGTTTTACAGCACATATTTTTCAGATGTGGCAGATCTGCATATCTGATACAGTAAAACTTGATTTTCCCCTTTCCTCTCCCTCAGTTTGGGCAATAGAAAAAGAAGAATGGGTTTCCTTTTTACTTTTAATCATGATTACCTACTTTCACACTCAAGTATTTCATGTTCTAGGACAGTTCCACAATATTTCTGCCAAAGATGTCTCTGAGGACTGCTAATTTGATTTTAGCATTTCTCCAGAAGTACCAGCACAAATTCATTAAATTCATTTAATAAAGTTAAATTTTTTGAGGCACTTATCTGATCTTGGTGTGTTAAGGAGATGGAGTCCCATGGAGATACACCTGTTTCCCTCAAGGCAGGACGGTGACTGGGTAGCACTGAAGCAGGTATGGGAGTTATAGACCTACCCTGAGCAAGGACAAATCTGGGCAAAAGCACAGGATTTTTTTTCCACAGATTTTCCTAAATAAACACTCAGGGACTCCTTCCTTTGTAGAGTGTTTCCTCATGGTGATGGCAATGTCCTTACTGACCTTGAGAGAAGCAACATTGTGCCATCATCACTCTGTTGCCTTCCATAATTTGAAAGCTGAAGGTGATCTCCTTAGTTCAGTTTGATTCCTTGCATCTGGCCCTAAACACCTCAGCTATTTGTCACAGTCCCTAGGTTTAGTCTAGACTAATCATCCAAGGTGTAATACATGCTAACAGCTTCTAGAAAGTGCTCAAATGGCCCTAAACATTTACACATGGACAACTATGGTTTTTCCTACCATAGAAAGAGTTGAATTGTCCCTTGGAAGAAAAGGTCTGGTTCTGCTGATCTTAAATAGAGTTTAGATGGACAACGTCAAGCCCTCCCACTAATACCATTCCTTCCTAACTTCTCAATAAGGTGATGTCAGAGAAGCGAGAAAAAGAATGGAATAAAGGTCTTGTTGAAGAAGGAGTTAGAATGTGACAGGAAAAAGTCCCTAGACTCAAAGAGTCTTGAGTTCAAACTATACCTCCCATGTTTTCTGTGTGAGGATGTGTGGTAGGTGGTAAAGCAATATTTCAAAAGTAGATTAGCAAGGTTATTACCACTCAGCTGCTGTGGACTAAGCCAATCTGTCTTATTTGTCATTTTGTTTTTATTTTATTTCCAGTGAGTGGATTCTGTTAGACCTCTGCACCTCAGCTGGATTTATAAAGACAATAAAGCTGCAGAAACAAGCGGTTGAAGAAAAGAAAGCATCATAAAATCAAGGCAACACAAAAGGTGACTCCAATTGCCTGCATTGGTTGTGTTGAACAGAGACCCAGGTATGGCAGAGTGCTGTGGGAGCAGGGGCTGAGAAAATAGAGGACAGAAGACCATGCTGTCTTTTAACTGAAGTTCAGAGAGGGATCAGGGCTCCTACTGAGACTATCAAGGTTTGTTTTCCTTTTAGTCTGCCATGCTCTTTTCACAAGAGACACCATGGCTGCTGCTTGAATGGTCAGGACAGATTCCCAACAGGTTCTGGCCTCATTCCAGTGCAGCTTTATTGTACATTCCCATGTACAGGACAGTTCATTTGTCCCATGACCCAAGAATTCCTCTTTTGCCAGATTTCCATATTGTTTTCCCAGTGGTGAGTAGATCAGGCATTTCTGATGGACCAGAGGAAGCCCTTCTTTCAATCTATCCAGCATGCAAGCAAAGTCAGGATGCTGGAACCGCGTGTCCCACAGCGATGCACTGGCCCTAACTCTGCTGCCGGAGAAGAAAGTGCTTCAAATTTCACGTGCCACCTCAGCCAAGTCCAGAAGTGCTTATAAAAAACAGTGTTAGTGTATCATTCAGAACAATCAAATACTACGTGCACAAAAAAGCAGTTTAGAGCAACATAAATTTTAAAAAAGTGACAATTTCATCACACAATTACTGTACACTGCTGTTCTTAGGGTTGAATACTTTCCTCTCGCACGCTCTCTCTTTCTCTCTGTTTTAATCTTTCTTTTTTATTTTCTTTTTATTTTCTTTTTTACTATTTTTTTCTTTTTTCCCCTCCCCCCTTTTTTTTTTTTTTTTTTTTTTTTTTGGATTTGGTCCACTGGAGATAAATTGCCCTCAATGATATATATATTTAAAAAAAATATCAGCAGCAAGACTCTCTCGAAATAGATTCTGTTTGATGTAGCTAGTCTGTCTTTTCTGTTTTGCCCTCTTTCACAGCAGCCTCTGAAGTTTTCCGCAGGGGGGCTTTCTCCGAGTTGGCGTGTCCTTGGCCGGATTCCGCCGCTCCTCCGTTTTTGTGCGATGTGTGCTTTTCCAAGTAGTTCAGCATTTCACTGAGAACAGTTTGGAAAGTGCTTAGGGCAGCACATATTGCAGGAGTTCCAAAACCATGAGTGATCAAACTACAAATGGGAAGGAGACAGAAGAAAAAGGAAAAGGGAAAGAGATACACACACACACATAAATATCAATGCGCTCACAAACACTGAGGAGTTTACAGTACACTCATTTTGCTACAGTGAAATTCAGGATTTGCTCCCTAAACTATTTATTACCTGTGGGAGGAACAGAAAAGAGAGGAACAGAGCCAAAGAGCAGACTGCATACAGCTTTAAAGGTTGTTTTTGGTGGAGCCTCAGTTCTGAAACACCATGGGACAGACTCACAGCAAGTGCAGACTGACACAGGGCTGTTGATTTCAGAGAAGCCAAAACAGAACTGGCTCTCCAACACCATGTCCTGTGTCATGAAGTCTGGCTCCTCTTTCTTGGGTAAATAAAAGGAATTCTGTGTGGTTTATTCTCAATTCTGGATCACGTTTGGTTGACTTGGTGATCTTGGGGTTCTTTTCCAACCATCTGTGATATTACAGCTCTTAAACATGACCTGGTTATTCTACATGAAGATATGACTGCATCTGTACTCAGAAATTCAGCAAAGCCAAGGATCCCATCTCCAACCCTCAGCATAATTGGCACAATTTTGCTGTATCCATGCTGCTTAACTCCTGGACCACCCAACAGGGTGAGATCTGAAGTTCCTGTTGGAGATAGACCTTGGCCAATACCCTTGCTCAAGCGATGAACAGAAAATGTTTCACATAGGACTGGTTTAGCCAGGCTGAATTAATGGACAATCCTAACCCATTACTGGCAAAAATAACACAGTTCTAGTGATGTTTCCCTAGTTGTGCTGAATTTACTGGTATGGATTTGCCCTGTTGCACCTTTAATCTAAACATCTAAATAAGGTGGTTTTTTAAATACTGAATTTTGATTGCCATTGTTCCTAGCTGCCACCTGTGGATCCAGAGATCCACAAGTCCCATCTCTTCCATATAATCTCTGTTAAAATTAAAGAATCCCAGAATTGTCTGGGCTGGAAGAGACCTTAAAGATCATCTCCTTCCATCCCCTGCCATGGGCAGGGACATCTTCTATTATTCCAGGTTATTCCCAGCCCCATCTAGCCTGGCCTTGAACACTTTCAGAGATCCTGGGGCAGCCACAGCTTCTCTGGGAAACCTGTGCCAGGGCCTCTACACCTCAAAGGAAGGAATTTCTTCCCAGTATCCCATCTAACTCTGCTCTCTGTCAGTGGAAAGCCATTCCTCCTTTTCCTGTCATTCTATGCCCTTATCCAAATTCCTTCTCCAGCTATCGTGGAGCCTGTTAGGGTATTGGAAAGGGCTCTAAGGTCTCCCCAGAGCCTTTTCTTATCCAGGCTGAACCATCCCAATCCTCTCAGCCTTTCCTTGTAGCAGAACTTCTCCAGCCCTCTAACCATCCTCATGGACTCCTCTGACTTGCTCCAACTGCTCCACATCTTTCCTGTGCTGGGGACCCCAGATCTGGATGGAAGACTGCAGGATGTCCCAGCTGCCATAGGATAGGGGATGTGCCACTAGAAACAGTTCTTAGACAGCTGACTTTGGTGCCATTTGCCTAAATATTATGTATGCAGTATAAAATGATCATGAAAGGGCCAAAATCCCTGAAGTTATTATGGGCAACCAAGTTGTTCTCCTTGCTATAATGATTCATTTTGGTATATGTGAAAACAAAAAACTCTGCTCTAATCCTCCAGATTTTTTTAGTTTTCATTTAGAAACATAAATTAAAAATTATTTCAAAGATTGAAATGCCATTGAAATTTTCAGAAGTGATTTCAAATATTTTAAGAAATAAATAAGAATTCTTTCTTCTTCTCAAAGAAGAAAGAAGATGAACAGAAGCTAATTTTTGAGTTCTTGGGCATTTTTGGGAAATCAATACTTTGTATTGGTTGAGTTGAGGGGAAAAGAAAACCCACATCACAGTGGTTCTGACAAGGATAAACAACTGTTTCCCATTCCCTGCTAGTTAAGATTTTGTCTCTCCAGAGACTCCTTGGCTGTCTTGGGAACCACATCAGTAAATCCTGACCTGATGCAGAGACCCATGAAAGGGTCAGAAATAGGAATATTTCACTTCAGTGACCTATCTCCTCTGCACTTTGGCTTCTCAGTCTTCCCAGATTCTTTAGAAAAAAGTGAAAATGTAGGGACTAAAGAAGAAAATAGGTTTTACAGGATATGGGCAATTGGTAGGATGATGTAAGTATCAAAAAACCCACATGGAAAAGGCTTCAATATATTTTTTTGGGTCACCTTTCTGTCTGTTAGACATGGGAAACTGATTGGATAGGAAAGCTGGCATCTTAGAGACGAAGCCAAAAATATGTGAAATCTGACCAAAATGAGTTCTCAGTATGGAAAATTCTTCATATCAGATTGGGAGTGGCATAGCCTTTTATAAAAGGTCTCCAAAAGGCTATTTACAAATAACTAGCATTTAGAATGTTTATCCATCAGTCTCCAGGCACTTTTCAAAGCAGGAATTTATATTTATCCCCAGTTAGTAATGTGAGGAAAATGATAATTAAAAATTTACAAGCAATATTTTGCAGACATCAATTAATAATACCACATAAAGTTTGGATGCTTAGAGTTTGGACTTGTATCAATATATGGTTCTTTATAATTTAGCATTAAAAAGAGGTAAACATACCTCAGTTGGATTATATTTTGTTTTTAAGTATACCTGGCATACCAGAAATATAAAAATCATTATCATTGTAAGTCATATTTTAAATAGTTGCAAAAACTAGATCAGCAGTAGTATTTCTATGAGTATTTTAAGCCCTTTCAAGTCACTTTAAGAGTCAGGTGATTTAATGATTTTGTGTTGCATTTTATCGTAACTTCTGGTCTTCAGAAACCCAGAGAAATGAAAACGTGATGGAGTTTGCAAAAGCAAGAAAAAAGAAATTAAAGGTATCTTTACTAGTTATGTTACTGCATGATTTTTACACTGCTTGTGTGATCTTCTGGGTGATGATTTGGGGAATTGATTGTACTAAGACACATAAAAATCCTTCTGATCTTGCCAGTAAAATAAATTAGTGTATTATAGGAGCTGTCAATATCTGAATTCATTCATTTTCTCATTTCCAGTAGATGGAAATCATAGAATCATTGAATCATTTAGACTGGAAAATACCACCAAGATCATCGAGTCCAACCATGAACCCAGCACTGTCGGGCACACCACTAAACCATGTCCCCAAAAGCCACATCCAAGTGATTATTGGACACTTTCTGGGATGGTGAAGCCACCACTTCCCTGGGCAGCCTGTTCCAATACCTGACCACCCTTTCAGCTAAGTTTTTCCCAATATCCAATTAAACCTCTCCTGGCTCAACTCGAGGTTGTTTCCTCTTGTCCTGTCACTTGTTAGCTGGGAAGAAAGACCGACCCCCACCTGATTACAATCTGCTTTCAGAGCACTGTAGAGACTGAGAATGTCAAGTAAATTGTAAGTTTAATACAGGATTAAATGGAAAAAAAACCTTCTGGCCTACAATTTTTGAAACTTTCATTCTGGGAACAAAAGGAATGATACTGTGTTTGTTTGGCAGCTCAATAGACCCTGAGAAGTAAAGTGGGAACACCACCTTCAAAACTTAGAGGGATTGTCTCAGAAATTATCTCTAGGGGTAGGAACAAAGTTTAATGTTCTGAAATGCTGAACAAGACTGTAGAAAATACCAGAATGGGACAAAATCTGATATTAAGGTATATAAGGGTAACATGTAGGTGTAAACATCACCAGTGCCAAACTCCTGTTACCATCAAAGGGGACTTGATGTCATTTTTCCTGTCTGTAAGAGTCTACAGTGATCTGATATGTCCTGTGACATTTGGGACATCTGCACAAATTTGATAGATATCTGGGCAGGTTACCTTTGTGTATCTGAAATTGTTTACTCAAATAAATTGAGCCCTGGGGCTTTATTCAATACAGTCAGAGAAGTCTGGAGAGTGAATTAGCACATTAAATGGATGTGTTTCCTCTAAGGTGAGCTGCACTATTCTCCTGGCTACACTGATGGATCCACCCTAAAGAAAAATAAGATTTGGGTGTTATTTGGGATGTTCTGTGGTACCCAGACATCTCTGTGGGTTAAAGGGGACCAGGACCCTTTTAAAGCAGCAGGGACTGATGGAATACCTAATAGCACCTGAAAAGTCTCTATCTTGCCCTAGATCTTCATTGACTACATGAGAAGCTCAGACATACAGCATACACAAAAGCACCAAAATATTTCTACTTTATCCAGAGCAGAAATTGAAACTTTTGGTTTAAAAACTAATGCTCATAGGAAAAGAATGTTTTGGAGTGAGTAAAGGGTCTATTTCCTTTACAGTTTAGCCTTTTAGTTACCAGTAATCATTAAATATGGCAGCTCTCACCAACATAGCCTTGTGTTTCTTATTAAAAAGCCAACTTTTTTAGTGAAATGGTGCTGCAGAGTCTCATGGTAACTCTGCTTTCAGTTCTTGATGAATATATTCTTCTCAAATGGGGATATGCAGAACCTTTTAATTTTCCCATGGAGCTTATTATGAGAAATAATTTTATAGAAAATTTCTAACCAGCCCTTCTTGCCAGGCTCCTGTGAGGGTGTATTTTATTAGGCTCACTTTAGGTAATGAGCACAAAAAGGCCGAGAGATATTATCTTCTACTTTATCTTACATTTCTATCAGTAATTCCCCTTGCTCTAATTTTGGTGGTCTTTACTTCTCTGCAAGTTAAAGTCTTTGAAAAATCCAAGAAAGTTGGATAATTTCCCTTTGCTGATGAAAGTAAGTTTCAAGTTTGGGAGAAAATCTGATTTTACATTTAAATCAGAGAAGATTAATGGCAAAGCATTCAAATGTGTTTCCTGAAAGTCAAATTTAGCTGCCTGATTTTCCAGGCTAATTGAGCTCACACTGAAATTGGTTCATTTTGGTATGCTCCACACCTATGAAAGGAGCTGCTTTCATTATCATACTCTCATTTGGGTTTATAAGTCT